TATATCAGGATTCTTTTATACCGACTTCGAAATTAATCATCTGGGCGTTTTCCGTGTCGACTTGAATCGCATAAAATTTGCAAATATCGTTCCCAGTGTGGGAAAAAGTTTTGTCATACGTCGGTGCGTCTCTTGAATAATTGCCGGCGCGAAAAATCCGGTCGGTGCCGCGGTCGCGGGGGAACCGCGGCGGAAAAACGCGGCCGGCCAGCGGAGAAAGTCGGCCGGAGGCGAAAAAAGGCGCGCGTTTAGCCGCAGCTCCTGCCGGGGGTTCAGTCAAGCTCGTAGTAAGACGAGCCGGACAATGCCCGCCGCCCTCCGATTGGTCGGTCTAGGGGAATCGCTCCAGGAGAAAGTGCCGACAACCGGCAACACCGGATACGGCTCAAAGGGCCGCCGAGTCGGAACGAGAGGGAAACCTGCCTCCGGTCTAGGGAGCACACTTCCCTAAAGCAGCGTCACATGTAGGTATATAAAGCTGGAATTGCCACTTTAGCACAATTCAATAAAATTTCTTGCAAAATTTCTTGCTAATTCATTGCTATTTTATTGCACATGAAAACAATTTTTTGCTCCTATACCTTTTCCGAAAAATGATGGCGATGTCAGCTTTATATAAAGCTAGCACTGCCGCAATAAAAAACAATTATTAAATAAATGTTCATCGATGAATTATGTATCAGAATTTATTGCTAATTAATTGCTCGCAGAAAAACCAAATTTCAATTTTTTTGCTCACCCCTAATTCCAGCTTTATATACATGTCACATGTATATAAATCTGGAATTGCCACTTTAGCCCAATTCAATAAAATTTCTTGCAAAATTTATTGCTAATTCATTGCTATTTTATTGCATAAGAAAAAAATTGTTTGCTCCTGTACCTTTTCCGAAAAATGATGGCGATGTCAGCTATATATAAAGCTAGCACTGCCGCAATAAAAAACAACAGCGAAAAGGAAAAATAGCGATAGAGGAGCCGTTACGCCGTTAGAAGAAATACTTGCTAAATTACCAATTTGTTGCAACTGCCAAAAAAAATAGTCATCACCACTCAAACGAATAAGGGACATACAATTTGTTGTTGCTAGAAAAGAATATGGTAACCATGAATTGTGTTGCTCCGGAGAAACAATTGGTATTTCGTTGTCAATATAACAAAAAAATGATTCTGGACAAGACTTTTGTTGGCCCATTTTCAGGTGTTCGCATTTGTAGCAGCAAGTGAAATTTCTTCCGAAAATGAATTCTTTTTTACAGATATGCCAAGAGAAAATACTTCTAAAAGGTATTTCTAAAAAGTACGAAATAATAATTTTCGTATGTCCTGTATATTTTTACAAAGAAAGCGTATGGTCGAAGATTCCGGATAGCCCTTAGCGAAGCCCTGGAGCGTGTTATCGGCACCTTAGTTCTTTGGCTACTAACAATAAGAGCGGCTAAGGCGCCCAACGTTTGGTCCAATATTGCCTGCCCGGTCAGACGAATTTCGCCCAAATGTCGAAATGGCTCCGTGTTCAAGGGGTTAAGGTGAAGTGAAACACGTCGAGGAACTTGATCGACGTCGATAAAGAAGATCTTTCTAAATACCTACGCTGCCGACGTTCGTTTTTATATTAACAGCTGTGTCGAATTATATTGGATATTGTACCAAATGGCATACTCCACCTGTCGTTTTCGTACAATAAATATCAAGAAATCGAAATAAAACTCCAGAAATCCTCTAAATTCATGCTTTTTGAGGCCCTAATTGACTGCAGAGGGACCCCCTGCGCCATCTGTGATTTCCAGATCAATTAAACTTTCACCCCGAGACCTCGTATTCCCATCGTTTTAGCATAGAAGCGCATACAACACTTTTTTTGCCTTTATCCCGTTCAAATGCAAGTTTATCGATTACCAGAGTGTTCTAAATTGTCGTAAAATTGTTTTGACCCTTTAGTTTCTCATATCAGAGCCGTCGATAATTGTATATTGATCGAAATATGACAGCTCGACGCCATTTTGGTTCTGGTCTGGTATGAGTTAAAAAATTTGTTCCAAAAATCCAAATTTTGAATGTGTCAGGACAATTCTTAGATGATCAGGAGCGACGTGTCAAAGTTTCGGACAGTTTGGTCCAATACCCTTAAAAAAAAGTGTTGTATTCGAATCGACTGATTTGAAGGGGGTTTCACTTCACCTTAAATAACAGCCAAGGCAGGCATCTTTGGCCAAGGTGTTGCTGAAGACGAAGACGGAACTCGAGGGACTCGACCTACTCGGCCATCTCGACATCTCGTCCGACATGTCGACGTAGATGAAGAGCTGTTATCCCGTCCAGACGACATAACGGAGCGGCCGCCATACCTCGACTTCGGCGTAACTCGGTTAAGAAAACTCGAGCGACGCCTTCGCCTGGACGACTGGAAGAACTTCTGGACCGCTGATGCGTCCAATTGACGGACGGAGAAAGAAAAAATCAAGTTCAATGAAACGGCGTGGATACATCGTGGTCGGTGTGAGCGCCTATCGCGCAGAGCGATGAACACAAATTAGATAATCGTGGGGTCGAGACTGGAGAAAGATTCCTCTCTCGAAGGGTCGACTCCAGACGACTCTGGGTGGTATTTAAGATGGGAATTTCTCTTTCCGAGGAATTACGGTGAAATTCATGAGAAGTATTCCACGATACGCGTTCGTCCTGCGATAGTAGTCTGGAAGAGGAATTCTTTCTTTTCGTGGATATCGTTGGTGGGAATGGAATATCTTCCTCGGGGACTTCTTCGGAGATGACTGTTTAAGTTTATCGGGGAAACCCTTTTTGGTGATGATTCTGAGGATTCACCAAAAGTGGTAGATATTCGGAGGGCAAACTCTGACATTAGTGCTCTAACAATAGTCTGGAAAAGGAATTCTTCCTTTTCATGGATTTCTAGGTGGAGATGGAATATCTTCCTTAGGGACTTCTTCGGAGATGACTGTTTAAGTTCATCGGGGAAACCTTTTTTGATGATGATTCTGAGGATTCACCAAAAGTGGTAGATATTCGGAGAGCAAACTCTGACATTAGTGCTCTAACACTAGTCTGAAGAGGAATTCTCTCTTTTTATGGATATCGTTGGTGGGGATGGAATATCTTCCTCAGGGACTTCTTCGGAGATGACTGTTTAAGTTCATCGGGGAAACCTTTATTGATGATGATTCTGAGGATTCACCAAAAGTGGTAGATATTCGGAGGGCAAACTCTGACACTAGGGCTCTAACAATAGTCTGAAGAGGAATTCTTCCTTTTCATGGATTTCTAGGTGGAGATGGAATAACTTCCTCAGGGACTTCTTCGGAGATGACTATTTAAGTTCATCGGGGTATCAGAAAAAGTGGTCGAGTAATGAAGGAAATTGTGAAAAAAGGCAGGGAGCAAGTCTTATAGAGCGGGTCAAAAAATGAACCCGAGCGAAGCCGGGTACAAAAAGCTAGTTCTAGATAAAGAGGCCATATCCTGCTTATGGACCCTGTCAAGGTAATTTATTCCGAAGTCACCGGGCGAATCTTATTCTCCTTATTATTCATATAATCCGCCGGATGTATCCTAGGGATCTCGCAATCCCACATTCGCGCTCTAAATCATTCTTTGCCGACACCATTTCTTTTCGGACACCCTAGACGGAGACGTCGCGTATCTTCACGGACATCTTGAAAGTGATCTCTGTTCAAGTTCACCGAATAAATTTGTTCTCATAATCGTTTGTAAAAAAGCTAACAAAAGTATCCTGCAATCTCATATTCCCGCTTTGCATTCTTCATTTTTCTTTTCAGGCTCAGGTGGAGAAGCCGCTTTCCTCAGGGTCTTCGCCAAGGTAATCTCTTCTCGAATCGGTCTCCTCTTCCGATTGTTCGCTAAATTTTCCCCGGAATCTTGTATTTATTCTCCGAATCTCGCTCTTTATCGACATCTTAATTTTTAGGTATCTTAGAAGAAGACGTCGCGCCTCAAGGTTCTCTTTAAGGTGATCTCTTATCGGGTTTTATCGAGTAAATGTCTTTTAATCATTAGCGTCTTTTAATCATTCGTGAAAAATTCACCAAAAATATCCCGCAATCCCACATTCGCCCTCCGAATCTCGCTCTTCCTCAACGCTTTTCTTTTCAGGTAATCTAGACAAAGGAGTCGCGCCTCTTCGGGGTGCTCTTTAACCCTTTGAACACGGAGCCATTTCGACATATGGGCTAAATTCGTCTGACCGTGCAAGCAATATTGGACCAAACGTCGGGTGCCTTTAGGCGCTCTTAGTAGCCAAAGGGTTAAGGTGGTCTCTTTCCAAGTTTTATCGAGTAAACGTCTTTTAATCATTCATGAAAAATTTGCCAAAAATATCCCGCAATTCCACATTCGAACTCTGAATCTCGCTCTTCTTCAACACCTTTCTTTTCAGGTAATCTAGACAAAGGAGTCGCGCCTCTCCGGGGTGCTCTTTTCCCCTTTGCACACGGAGCCATTTCGACATATGGGCTAAATTCGTCTGACCGTGCAAGCAATATTGGACCAAACGTCGGGCGCCTTTACGCGCTCTTAGTAGCCAAAAGTAAAAAGCCAAAAGTAAAAAGGGTTAAGGTGACCTCTTTCCCGGTTTTATCGAATAAACGACTTTTAATCATTCGTGAAAAATTTGCCAAAAATATCCCGCAATTCCACATTCGAACTCTGAATCTCGCTCTTCTTCAACACCTTTCTTTTCCTGTAATCTAGACAAAGGAGTCGCGCCTCTTCGGGGTCCTCTTTAAGGTGATCTCTTCCCGAGCGGATCGGGCGAAAGTCCCGGCAGCAGACGCGTGCATCATAAATTCGAGCGGTTCCGCCTTCCCGGTCTTTCTCCGGGCGGACCAGACCGGGGAATCCGAGCCGACCTCGAGAAGGTGGCGGACCTTTTACACGGAACCTCCGATCGTATCTCGGCCCTGACACGGCCGCGAGAAAGGAAAAAAGAGAAAAGGAGTCGCTCTTGACTTTTGGCTACTCACCCCGTACTGAGAGATGACCCCCTGGGGCACGCCTCGTTCCTCAGCCATGGCTCCTCCACCTGCGACCAGAACAGATATCGATCAGGAAGCTGCGAGAAAAGCACTCCATCTTGGTAGCGGAATCGATAATGGAGATCTCCTCGCAAAAAGAGTCGAGAATGCCGCGGAACAGGGTTGATAAAACTCGTGATGTCTTTGAAAGAAAATAAATAAATAAAAACGCTCAATTCAAATCACGATGCTAAATTACGATTTTTGAAACATCCTCATTCATTCAATAAACGTTTCAAAGATTAGGTTAGATCGATATTACTCAAAAATTGTGATTATTTGTTTCCTCAATTCGAGGATTTTTGCAGCCAAGATTCGATGATTTACATTTTATGTGCGTTGTAGCATTGTCTGTAGAAATGTTGCAAAAATGTTTCCCTTATACGGGATTGTACCCCGTTACAAAAGAATATAGAGATTTTATGAAACTTTTTTTGGAAGTTTTTCATTCAGACATGGTATGCTAATTTTGTAACATTTCTAAACAACATTTATAGTATATGTTATAAATTTCAGAAATTTGGAATATGACGTTACGGTAACCTGGGACTGTATCTGGCAGTTGAAAAAAAAATTACATTTTTTTAAGTGCACGTTCCAGAAACAAAAGGGAGGTTCTCTTCCTGAAAAAAAAATTCCCTGGTCCTAAAAAAACAGGAGGAATTCCAACTTTATTTAAACCCAGGCAAATTTTTATGTTAAAGTTGTAATTATTGCAACAACAAAAAAGTATTTCACGTGTGGCTTATCTATATTGGTGGTTCTGACATGTATTGTGGTACATTGAAAAATAGGAGATAAATATATCTTTTTACTAATCATTAATCTGCGCGTTTAAGGGGTGAAAACGATCTCCCAAATTGCTCCCCAAGAACTTATTCGACTTAATTTTGTAAGAAAGAAAATTAAATATGTGCAAATATATCCTTTCATTGGCAAAATATCGAAGAAAAAGGTTTATTTACCCCTACAAGAAATAAGGATGCAAACCCCATTTGAATATGATATATCGTAGGAATTGCTGCGTGAACCTGAACAAAAGTTCCAGGTTGAAAAATATTGTTCCGTTTACAAGCAAATGTGAAAAAAAAAATTGTTTTCGGGGATTAACTTTGGGGGTAGTTTCCAACCCTTAAATCCGGGAATTAGCACATATAAACAAATATGACTTCTTAATTGTGTCAGAAGTAACAAAGTAAATGGGATACTTTCTTTGTAAGTGGAGTAACGCTTTTCTTTTTCTTAAATTGGAGGTTGAAAAATATTATTCGTTTACAAGCAAATGTGGGAAAAACTTGTTTTCGGGGGTTAACTTCAGGGGTAGTTTCAACCCCTTAAATCCGGGAATTAGTACATATAAACAAATATGACTTCTTAATTTTCTATGTAGGTCCTGCATGTGTCAGAAGTAACAAAGTCAGTGGGATACTGTTTTTGTAAGTGGAGTAATGCTTTTCTTTTTCTTAAATTGCAGGTTGAAAAATATTATTCCGTTTTCAAGCAAATGTGAAAAAAGAACTATTTTTGGGGATTAACTTTGAAGGTAGTTTCAACCCCTTAAATCAGTAAATTAGCACATATAAACAAATATGACTTCTTAATTTCCTATGTAGGTCCTGCATGTGTCAGAAGTAACAAAGTCAGTGGGATACTTTCTTTGTAAGCGGAGTAACGCTTTTCTTTTTCTTAATTCATCAGATCCGATATCACTGACTTTCATTAGGATTGAATCCGAAGCGGCCACAAACAGGGGGAAGATATCGATCGAGAGGGCAATAGAAAGGAACTCGGAGGCGAAGGAGTGACCCGAGCCAGCCGCAGACGGGACGCTCGATTGGCCGTCGGAACACTTTTTAAATCGGTTAACACTTTCTCGGGATTTCTAGAGCTGGGTGGTTGGTCAGCCCGACTGCCGATACACTTCCTGGAGTGTGAAAATGGAGACCGGCGGGGACTCGAGCGAGGAAAAAAATGGGGAAAAAAAAGACAAGAAACGAAACCGTCCATCTACTGCAGAGTTGGCAAAGTTTGACCCGTTCCGGATAAAACCAGCGGTTTTTCCGTTCTTTCCTTTTTTTTCCAATAAATAATATATATCACATAAAACCCATTCGGTTTTACCCAGGGTTTTAACCGGATAAGACCATCTTACAAAATTAATCAGGATCTATGCGGCGCAGAATTTATTCTAATATTGTATACACTCCGCACCTACGCATGCGCTCCACTCATCTAATAAAAAATTAAAATAAATTCTAACCTATCTACGGGGTAGATGCCACATGCCTTTCTTGGAGTATGGTTTAGGAATATCGTCGACTGAAGTGAAATTTTCAACGGTTTAAAATAATTATTTCTTTACGGGGATTAAAAGTGAAATACTTTCAACCGAACGAAAAATGTAGAAATAAGAAAAAAGTTTACTAGGTTCATATATGACTAAAAATGTATTCCTCTCCAGTTGTACATTTTTCTCGGAGTACACAGTTTTTATTCTCAGACGTTCCGACTTTTTACCGAGCAGTATAATTCCGAGTTGCAATAATTGCGGGGAATTTTGCTAATCTGTTGCACCATAGCAGTGTTATATCATAGTTTTTTTTTATATCTCATGTTCCTAGGTTTAATTGAGTGACTTATTTATTGAGTACGTTATGTTTTGCGAGAAGTATTACGAGTTAATTCGCGTTGTCGTGAAAAATTCACGTTTGGTAACGAATACATTAAATTTATAATACCCTCGCAGGTGTATTTAATATACACACTTCTCAATTTTCCAAACAATTTTTAACACTTTTTAATAAAATGCCACGAAACTCCGAATTTTTCTACATTTACAAACATTGCATAGTAACTTACATCCTCATATCAAATTTGTCATTTTATACTTAATGTGAATATTTACAGTTTTAACAGTATAAGGAAAATTAGGAACGTTATCCAATCTTTCGATTCTTCCATGGTAAACCTGAGATAAAAAATATCTAGAATGTGAAAAACATATTGTCATTAATTCGGCAGATAATTTGTCCATAATAAATATCTTTGATTCCTTTACGAAAGCACTTAGTATCTAAGTTGGTTTAAATATTATTAGAAAGTAAAAATATGGTAAAAATCTTGGATGGCACAAACTTTGTACTTGGTGTAAATATTATAAGTGCAATGATGTTACAGATAAATATCTATAGCATATGAGACCAGTCTGACGATGAATTGACATCTTTTACACAAAAACGAAGGTCTGACCTATAAATGCCACTCACTTAACAGTTTTTTGCTATTATTAAGACATACCTGCCTACACGGACAATTTACATCCAACTGGATTGAAGTTTCGCTCTTACGTAGATATAATAAATCACACCGATCCGAAGTGTAACAATTTTATTCTTTTACAAAGTCAGAATCCACGTTTAAAGTTGCACCGCTTTCACTATCGTCGAGAGTGGCATTTCACTCTCGGTGAGAAATAAATAAAAAAAAAATCCCTATAAAGAGTAATTTTAATTTCCAGTCATTGTTGTTATACTTCCAGAAGAACAAAAAGCCAGACATCAGAAGCATAAGAGCATCGATTAACGTGTCGTCCACTTTTTACTAAAAGATGTATTTAGATTAGGTTGACACTTTTCTTTATATTAGATAGAAATTCCCCACATATATATGTAGCGGCACTCCGATATAAAATACTAAACATTTCATTTTTCAATAAATGAAAGATAAGGGGCATAGTCGTTCAAAATACAATTTCACTCTCCATGAAGAAGACTTAATTTAAGAATAAAAAATAAAAATTAAAGGGAACAACGTTTTATTCTTATTTATAAAATAGTATTCAACCTTCCATTACCTGTTGGTAATTGCCTAATGTCGGTTATTCAAACCAGAAGAAGGGAAATAAAATATTGGAAATGCGTCATTGAGCATCGATCTCGGCACTGATCTATGTACTAACTGGACAGCTGATATCTATTTGTTTTATATGGAGAGGACTTCGACGAATTCAAGGCACCGCAGCGCCTCTACACATGCGCAGCGATACTAAATAAGTAACTAGTGCGCATGTATAAAAGCGTTGAACCGCCTATACGCGAAGGTAAACATTTAAGGTATAAAGAACAGAAGACGGGAAATTTCCGGGTCAAATGTCGCGTCATGCATATCGTAAGAAAGCTTTAACTAAAACAAAACAACTGTCTTTTTTCTCGCAAGTATTTTAATACAAAGAACAATTATTTTCTTCTAGTAAATTAATTTGACTCCTCTTATACTACGTGCGGTTGAATGACGCGTTGATTTGACGCATGCGCAGAGACTACGATATTAGTTGCCGCGTCCGTAGCCAGAGGCGCTGCGGTCACTTCAAAACGTCCCACCATTTTGTAGGCTATTAGCTATCCAGTTAGTATATAGATCAGTGGTTCTTCAGGAGAGGACTTCGATGAATTCAAGGTACCCCAGCGCCTCTACACATGCGCAGCGATATTAAATAAGTAACTAGTGCGCATGTGTCAAAGTGTTGAACCGCCAATTCGCGAAGGTAAACGTTTAAGGTATAAAAAACAGAAGATAGAAAATTTCCGGGTTAAATGTCGCGCCATGCATATCGTAAGAAAGCTTTAACTAAAACACCGAAAAACGGCTATCGTTTCTCTCGCAAGTATTTTAATTAAAAAGAAAAAAATTATTTTATTCCAGTAAATTAATTTGACTCCTCTTATACTACATGCGGTTGAATGACGCGTTGTTTTGACGCATGCGCAGATACTACGATATTAGTTGACGCGTCCGTAGCCAGAGGCGCTGCGGTCGCTTCAAAACGTCCCGCCATTTTGTAGGATATCAGCTTCCAGTTAGTATATAGATCCAGTGGATCTTAGATTTTTGCAGACATGGCATCGACATGGCAAACTCTTGTCGCTCGTTCGTTTAATTTTATTTCCCGAGGGAATCTGACTTTCTCGGCTGACATTCCGGTCGAAGGATTCTCAAGTAAAAGTGGA